AGCAGTTAGACGTTCCCAATAAGCAACAATTTCTCCTCGTTTATTTTGAATTTGTGAACTGTGATCAGCATGGATTCCACATAAACGATCTGCTTCTTGTCCCAAAATTGAAACTTTATCTTCTAAAGCTGCTAAATCTCTTTCAACTCCTTCATGTTTTCTCTAAAATGATCAAATATTAAAATTACTGAAATGAAAATAAACATACTCAAAACAGATGGTAAAATATTAATATTAGGAAAACTGAAAAAAGAAAGGTAATGAAAGTATAGTTTCAGTAAATTTTAAAGTAATATTATCATTTAAAATGATAGTTATGAAAAAAAATTTACACAAATCTGAGATAAAAGGTTATAACAGTATTTTATAAGTTGATAATAAAACATCAACAATTCTTGTTTTAGTGAAAATTAAAAATATTACTACTCAATTTACACACACTCACACACACACACATATATATATATGCGTACATATACATACACATATACAGAGTTAATAACTAATTTAAATAAGTATTGTTATAACTAACCTGAAGTGTTTGTACACTAGCTAAATCTCTTCCATAGTCTTCAGAAGACAATATACCATCTTTTTCAGATATCCAAGCCACTGTTTCGTCAGCATCTCTATTAAAACGTTGTATCTCATGAGCTCCAAATAAACGTTCTTGCCTCATTAAAGTTAATTGCTTTAGTCTTGTCCATGCTTCATTTAAATCCTCTGAATACAAATTAATTGTATTAAACAAATCATACTTATACTGGAAGTTTATAATTTACCTCTTTTTTTTTCAAAATCGTTTCTCTTTCAGGATGCCCTTCTAAAACTAATTTAGAAGCCAAGTCATTTACTTCAGTAACACGATATTCTTGTGATGTCATATCTTTTTGAAATTCATCAAATTTACGTTGTAATACTTCAACATGTTCCAAATCAGCACCAAATTCATCAGTAGTGACAAATGTTTCCTAAATATTAATACACATCAATAAATATTGAACAGTATATATATTTTAAAACTTATTCCTTACCTTATCATTAATCCAAAACATAACTTCATCGCATTGTCTTAAAAATTGAACTAAGACTAGAGCTTGTTGTAATTTGACACCTTTTTCAGCCAATTTTGACAAAAGTAAATCCCAATCTTTGTGTAATTGCTCTAAAATTGTAAGAAAATTTAAATACTAGTAATTATACTTGTAACAAATTAATAAACTGTAAATAAATTTAGAGACAATTATTATTCTATAATAATTTAATATATAATACATATTCATTATAAATTAAATCAGTCATTAGAAAAAAAATTATATTAACAAGAAATTTAAATAATATTTATGTATAATTAGAAAAACTTAAAATTTGAATATATTTATATAAAAATAATTAATAAAATATTAAAATTACCAAGCCTCTGACGAATTTCAGAAGATGCAAAATGATTTTGATTTATCATTCCCATTCCAGTATTATCCAAAACAACAATGGCATTGCTATGTGCAGCTACTTCAGCTTCAAAAGCTTGATGTTTTTGAATTTTTGCCTAAAAATTACAATATAATAATTCAATTATTTATCTATGAAGATATAATACAATAATAAATTAAATAAATTATAATAACCTGTAAGTTTGTAGGATCTTTATAACTTTCGTCTGATGCAGCTTGTGTTTTTTCAAGTATCCAGGATTCAAGTTCATCGGCATCTCTTTTAAAATACTAAAATAAAATAAAATTTAGAATATATTACTTTTAGTTTTAAAAATTTAATTAATTTAATTTAAGTTACTTGAAATCTTCTAGAATCTTCAAGTTTTTCTCTTTTTAAACGAGCTTCAGCCTTGAATTCACTATAGCGTTCAAGTACTTGTGAACGACGATTTTGAATATCTTCAGCAGATTCAAGGATTTTCACCTCCTTTGGTATCAAGGGATCCATTTTGAAAATGTCTAAAATTGAATTATCTTATTAGAAATAGAAGCCTAAATTATAAAATAAATTGTTAAACAATAAACTATTCATATAAGATACCTTTTTTCTTTCCGTTTAATTGACAACTATTACATTTAATAGTATATACTATTATTTACTAACATAGATTTTATAGTTTACACTATAAATGATTATTAATATTATAATTAATTCTTTAAACAAAATTTTGTTCATTTATTTATAATTAATCTTAAGATATTTTATTTTTGAAAGTAAGTATGATAAATATTTTTGTTATAATATTGAAGACTAGTATTTATACTCAGATAAAATGGTTTACAAATACTAACAAAGTATTAAATAAAATTCAAAAATTAAGGTTATATCTAACCTTATCAGTTATATTAAGGTTATATACTCGCAAAATAACCAAAATTATTTATTTATTTTTTGATATAAGAATTACAACATATCTTAAAATAATATAATGATAAATATTAATATAATAATATAATTTTATGTTTCACAAGCAAGCTAATATTACAAAATGCCTCAATCACGTTTAGTATTATTTTGTAATAATTATTTATCATTGCGCTATTTAGATGCACAAATAAAGTAAATAATAAAAACAAATAAGTATATAATAATTGATAATTACATTAAACATGTATATTTATATGTATAACATTTAATATGAATTAAAAATATGTAAATGAATACTTAGTGAAGAAAATTACAAAAACATAATTTTATTTATAAACAAAAACACTTTATAGCTAATTAATTCTTGGTTTTCTAAGAAATATTTTGTTTAAATTTAGTCTAATGACTAATTGATTTAACAAATATTTTATCAACTAAGATATTAAAAATAGATGCAAATCAACCTTTACAATATTACACCTTGCATAGCCAGTGGCACATTTAAGGGGGGGGGGAGCAAATTTTTGGGAGTGGCAAAATATTCTAACTTTTATTATTAATATGTTTATGATTTTTTTAATTTTCACACCTTTTTCGGTATTGTTTAGTATTTTAAAAAATATTGTTGAGCATCTAATAAGAAATTAAAAAAAATTATACTATACCTATTCACCTAAGTAATAGTGAAATAGCAAAATAAGTATATTACATTTATTATTCGACAAGATATTATATTTTCGTTCAATGTTTATAATAAAGACTCGGGTACACAGAACTCGGTATTCACTTTAGTGCACATTTAAAAAGTTTACAAAAGGAGTAAAATTGTACCTAAAATTGCTCAATGTATTTTTATTAGCATTTATAAAAGAGAATAGTTTAGTTGAAGTATATCTTTATATAGATATTGCTCTAAGGATGCTACTATGTATGTACACCTTCAAGTAATTGTTCAACGGAAAAATCATTTTCTACATTAAAAAGGGTCAAAACTTATTTAAGATCAACAACAAGAGAAATTCGTCTTAATTAATTAACAACCCTCAATATTGAAGCTGATTTAACGAAAACTATTAATTTTATTGATATTATTGAACATTTTTCTTCCCAAAAGTCAAGAAAAAAATTATAAGCTATCGATTATTTTATTATATATAATTAATAATAAATATAATATATTTAATCTAATAAAAAACCATGTATTGTTAATCATTGTGCATATAATAAGTATAAATTCCGTTTTCTATATTTAATATATTTATATATTTTTTAAGAAAGGAATATTCACTGAAAAAAAAAATTAGGTTAACATTAGGATTTGTATTACCAATGATTTTATAATATACAATATAAATATATATTATAAAATCAATGATAAAACTATAAAATTATCTAATACAATATCGCAAAACTACTGAAAAAAACAAATTTTTTTATTGCTTTACTGAATTTATTTATATGTATATTTTTTTTTTTTTTTTGGTATGGGGGAAGGGCGGAAAAATTATTTTGCCCCAGGGCGCGTATGTATTAAATGCGCCACTGTGCACAGCCAATAATAATTTTACAACATTTTCGAGTCGACCCAAAAGCATAAAGCACCAGAAAAATAAACCAAATATTTAACACCATAGGTGTAATATAAAACCGCCAAAAACTAGATATATACAACCAGCAAAAAACTGACAGATGAAAATTAATGAAGATTGGCAATATACTGACCAACATCTACACGATCAGGGTATATTGGTGTTATCGTAGCCAGGCCACATCATAAATTACTAAAGGAACATCACCTGTGCGTGCAAACGTTTAAAAATTATTAACAAACTTTATGTCAAACGCCACTGGGTGTGGCAGAAAACACGATGCGATACATGGTTCACATAGACTGTAATTGCTGTTAAAAAAAGTCAAATTACCTCCGTTTCGTTTCCGTACCGATATCGACAGACAAGTATGGATTTGGTTTAACGCTAGTTCATACACGAATTGTCATTTCTCCGTAAACTTTCGGTACACTTGTCACTTTGGCGCAATGTCACTGTAGAAATGCAAAGTACAGATAGCGGCGAAGGCAACAGCGGATACTGTAATTACGGTGGTGCGAGAAGTACGAGAGCAGCGGGGAGCAAAAAAAAAAATAATAGATCCCGTTCAATAAACTTCGTCACCGAAAGAATTGGAACGCCACAGTAATTGAGGTACGGGTAGGAAGGAGCCGGACGGATCCCCTCCAGAACTCGCGTGCATAGCATAGAGACCAGTGTTGCCACGGTAAAGACCAAGGCGCACTAGCGAAAAAAAGAAAAAAAACCAAAAAATCACAACAATTCATTAGATAAATTATTATTATTATTCTGATCAAATTATCAATTTATTGTGATTGTGCTCGACATAATTTACGATAATCATTTCGTCGTTTGAAAAAGCAATCTTTAGAAAGTTTGAACGTTTCGCGATTTAAAAATCGTACGTCAAACCATCAGCTTAGGAATTCTGTGTAAAATGGCGCGTAATCTGTGTTATGGTATCGCTTTTACGACATCGTTTCTTCGATTTTATCAAAACAATATAACAATCAACAATCAAATTCAATAATATTTGTATATGTTACGTTTTCCAATTTAAATATTTGTTTGGTATAAATTTAATATTATTGTTTTAGTCCATTTTAGCTTCAGGTTTTTAATTATTTTAATGAAATTAAAACAGTGCTCTCCGTTTTAAGACCAACAATTTTGGCGAGTTTATAAAATGAGTAATCAAAGTTCAGCAGCAAAGGTAAAATATAATTTACTCTTTAAACTTTCTTTGATGACAAATATGTTTAGGTTGGTGAGATCTTCAGTGCTGCGGGTACTGCATTCAGTAGACTAGGTGAACTCACATTAACATTGCAGCCAACAAACGATACACCTACACCTAACAGGTATATTTTCGTATTTTTTTATTTTGATACTTTATATAGATTGTATCAACAGTTTTGTGATGTATTTTTCTATTTTCTTATTGCCAGCAAATGGACTGATGATGATATAGAAATGCTTCAAAGTGCTGTAAAAAAATTTACAGACGACCTAGCTATTATATGCGATCAAATCAAACAACGGACAGTGTAATTATGTTATATTTTATAATCAATAACAAATGTTGGTTATGTATTTGTGTTTTTAATCAAAATAGCCTTAAAGCTATGTGATGATTATTACACTTATTTTATAAAGTGATATGCACTATTAAATTTATTTTTATATGTATTTTATTAATATTTAATTTTTTAAAAAAAATATACATATATATATATGTATATAACTTTACTCTCCTATTCTCCAATTCATGTATTAAACTTTCCAGATCTCAAATACACACAACTCTCAAAAGAAAATCTTATGAAAATAGAGCAATCAATCCTGCTGTATTGACAAGATCACCAATGTCCTTAACATCTCCAATGTCAACAAATATACTAAATGCAAAATGTAACTCTGCTGATGTAACATTAAACATGTTGAATGCACCTCAAGAACATAATTCTGCTTCAGATGATATTCCTAATGAAAATAATCGACATAACTTCAATTGTGGTGTTGATATTGAGTAGCGAACTTTAAACTTTTGACATACCAGATGTACCAATAATTTAATTGAAAAAATTGTGTTATCACTTTATCAGTTACTTGGTGGTTACTTTCATGATGGTCTCTTATTTATTTCCCTGCCTATATTATGTATAACTTTTTCTTTTTAGTTGTGCATTTATTTTTATATGTATACAAAATATTTGTACTTCTGTAAAGGCAAAAAGAACAAAATGAAAGATTTAAGAAAATATGTTGCATTTCTAAATTTACAACGATTAGTAATCATATTTAATTATCTTATAAATCAATAATATGAGGATAAGAGATTGCAATTTAACTGAATTATAAAATTAGTCTAATTAATATGAAGAGACGATGTACAGTTAATTTATTTATTTTTAAAATAAATTTATATTCGTAAATTATATTTTTAAGGCTGTCTCAATTATTCTTAATTTACCTATAGTATGTATTAGAAAATTAATTGTTGTTGTATAATATAATTAGACATATATGTATATAAAAATATAAATAATATTAATTTTAATAAAGTAATATTTAGGTATCTGAACTATTTCTAAGTAATAATAGTCTTACAGCTCTATAAATGAATGTTATTTTGAAAAAGACTTAAACAATTGTTCGCAATTTTTGAAAAGGTATTAATCATAAGTATTTTTCAAAATATTTGTAAATAATAGATATTTACATGATTAAAACAACAATATTTACATTTTTTAAATATAATAATAATAATGTATTGAATTATAATGTTATTTGCTTTCTATCAATTCAAATTTTTATTAATTAAAGTTTTAAATAATACCATGAAATATGTTTGTGTACGACTGATTCATGAAAAAAATATGACAGCTTCTTACAACTCATTTATTAATTAATTCTTTAGTTATCAGTAGAGAGAAAATTTTTATGTAATTACATAATTTTATTGAATGTGAATTTCTCAATTCCGTTGCATTTGCCGCACACTTTGGACAGTTGTATTAATTTATATATATTTGTTTTTATTTCTTGACGGATTATCGCATCGGACGTATTTAACGGATGCCACATAGGACACGCCGTAATGTATTTTGATAATATTGTGATTCGATAAGCAATAAATAATCGGCCTGTAGATTTAATAAATTACCTTGTGTCAGTGGCGTATTTATAGGGGGTTGAGGGGTTTTCACCTCCCCCCCAATAGATTAATCGTCAAATTTTAAACATATGTAATATAATAATTTTAGTTTTTTTATTCAATAAAGTATTAAAGTATAACGAAAATATATATATATATATATATATATATGTATAAAAAGAATATTAATATTGCTAATAATTAAATTGTAATCAGATAATAATAATAACAATCAACCGCACGGCACTCACACACGAATGGTATATAAATAATTTGATGCAGGGAAATTATCGGTAGATAATAATATCAGTATCTTAGCCCGTGATTGTCACGTCTTTTTAGTTGACAGTATGCACTAAGCATTTATGCGCAACATAAATTAATTTAAAATACGATTACTACGATCATACGTTTAATTTAGTTCGATTTCATTAATTTACTTTCATTTAATTGTTGAGTTGGTATTGAACCAAAACAAAAAAAATCTAAGTGAGGAGCGGAGAAACTTTGACTTAAAAGAAATGCTGAGTTGAAGGCGTCAGTTAACGACCTAAAACAAAAAATGTGTATAGGACATTTTTCGAATGCAATTGGAGCTATTTTTTTGTGTTTTAGGCCACTTTCCAAAATTTGCCCACTGGGCTGGTGCCTACCCAGTCCGCCCCTGAGTGTATGGCGTGTAGTATACGTGTCTAAGGCGTGAATTGTCAATTTTTGTTGGTGTAATAATTTCACCGTAACATTCATAAATACAAATTATTATTATTTTTGTATTACGCCATGTCCTAGCTAGTGCGTTTTTAGTGTGCGCATGCACAGTGGCGCAATCAGGATTCGTTTTCGGGAGGGGTTGTAAATTTGGAAAAAGAAAACATTTTTGACAGGTATTTGGTGGGGAAAAGGGGGTAAAATAAAGTTAAGTTTATGAGTAAAATATTTAAATTACAAATTAAACTGTTTAACTTCTATTTATACATAATGCACGTTGGAAAATAATTTAGACTCATTGAATATTTAAATAGGTAAACTTTATTCATAAATCAAAGTCCAATAAGTAATAATATAATAATTTACAGTTTAAGATTAATTCTCGTGTAGAGTGCTTTGCCTTTTTATCTAGCACCAAATCTGCTTTAACTTCAATATCTGTATGTATAATTTAAAGTAGCCATTCCATTAAGTTTCTGCTGTCCTGTAGTGGTACGTAAATAAGTTTTTAGTCTCCTAAGTGTAGAAAATGACCTTTCTCCTGTAGGAGTTGTTACTGGCAATGTAATTAAAATTTGTAATAGTTTTGAAATTTCTGGATACACTTGAAAATCACATTGAAAATATTTATCTATCAGAGATCTTTTGTAATGTTTGACTGATTCCTAGTAATCACAACTTTGGTACCACAAGTCTAATTCTCCAAAACTTATTTGGTCACTTACAATAGAATCAGAACAGTCATTTAATATGTCCGCATACAAATTTAAAATTTCTTTAAATTCGAGTTGAATTTCCTTAGTAACAACTTTTACTCCTGGCTTTGGTAGTAGACAAATGAAACTTTTTAATATGGTTTAATCTTCCAAAAATCGATTTTTCATTTGGTCCAAGAAATTGTTAATAAATGGAATAAATATTGAAACACAATAATAATGTTCTGGACAGTCAGTGGCTACATTGCATCTCATTGACTGCTTGCCTGTGATTCTCGGAACACAAATATTAATATTTAATTCATTACAAGTATCTTTAGTTTCTTGAAATATGGAATGAAATTGGTTATCAACATTATCTCTAATGTTTTGAACTGCATACTGTGTTTGACTAACAAAATTTAAAGTTTTTTCTAGGTCCAAGTTTTCAGACTGGATGAATTTGCTCAATGGTGCACTAAATGAATATATTTTTACTAAAATACTCAGAGGAATTTGAAATTTAAATTGATGTATTGAGGTATTTAACTGGTTTGCTGTTATAGATGAATCTATATATCTCATCTAGAGCATTAATAACGGCAGGCTGAATCGTATGGAATATCAATACTGCATCATGACGTTCTACCCATCTTGTAGCACAAAATTGCTTTAGTTTTAATGATTTGGATTCTGGTACTATGTTTTTAATAGATTCTTGTAAAACATTTTGCCTTTTAGGATATCCAAAAAATGTACAAACTGATTCCATTATCCCCATAGAATTCCTAATATCTACTACATTACAGCTGTATGATATTGCAAGGTTAAGGCAGTGAGACGTTCCATATTGTCATGTTATCTTTTTTATCAATTATAATATGAATCACGGTAGTTGTAGATTATAGAGTAATTATTACTCTATGTTGTAGATATAATATTATATCTACAACCATCATACGAATAATATTCATATCAATTGGCGGCAATCCGCCGTTTCGCATAATTAAGATAAATAACTTTATTCCTACGTAAAATTTGTAAAAACCTCAGAAAAATTTGGGGGGGGGGTCACAACCCTCCTAGTTACACCATTGCGCATGCACCACAAACCATAAGCGGAAATTTGGTGAAATTTGTGGAGAGGGGGCTGAGCATTATTTGCTTATTACACCTATAGATACCCCTGTGCGCAATTATTTATTTCAACAATGCAATTTACGAAGTTTGACAATTTGACATTTTTAATCAAAAATTTAAATAAAAAAACAATTAGGTGCCTTATCTTAAATATTTTTGGAGTAGGTATTCTAAACAGAAATTATTAATTAAATTAAACAACCTATACGGGTATTATTACATATTATTAATATTACATTAATTGCGATCGTTCCAAGTCATGACAAGAAGTTTGTAAAATCTTACGAATTTGTTTTCATTTTATCACAGAATATTTTTTTTTTAATTCAGTTATTAAAAATGCATTTTACAATTATAATAATTATTGTATTTTTAGTAACTTAACAATTTTTAGGGCTAGGGGGCTAAGACCTGTACTTTGCATTTCTGGGGGCATAGTTCCCTCAAGCCCCCCCCCCCCATGATTTCCACCTATGCCACAAACACAAACACAAAATACAAAATACTTTGTTTTTTGTCGCATGCGATATTCCCGCACTAACTTGTAGTGTTAGTATTTTTAATTTCAATAGATATTATAATTTATAAGCTTCGTACACATATAAAATAACCCCCTTTTCTCCGAAAATAAATCGTAGTTACACCATTGCTTGAAATTAACATAATGATAGTTTGATTTAAAAAACTGTTGCACAGTTGTATAAGAAACTGATATTTTATTACATAGGCAGGTAACAAAAAATATAAATATTTCATTAGTGGAGGGGGGCTCAGCCTCCCCACCGCACTCCACCAATGAAAAATAATATTTTTCCTTGACTATTTAACACTCGTATTAACCAATATTAACCCGAATAATAACGGTTATTAAGACCCAAACGTTTGTTTAAATGTTGTATTGCGGTGTTTGAACATCCGAATATATTCAACACTCGAAACCCGAAAAAATTATTCGGGTGCAAAGCCTTATTTTTTTGATTAAAAGTTTTCATTTACACATTTTTTATCACAATTATATTCAACATAAAAACATAATATAACTATTGTCATTTAACTATTTATTTTTTTATTTATTTATCTAAGAGCTTTCATTAAGAATCATTATAGCTCAACAATTACTGAATAATAAATAATAGCTTAACAATTAATGACGAAAGTTGTGTAAAATTAGACATAGTACGTTGTTATAAATAATATAACAAATTTATAAGAACAGCAATTTTAAATAATAATAATAATAAGTAATGATATAATAGTATGTTATTAACAAGGCATATAATTGGTTGAGAAAAATTAATTTAAAACGAACGTAAGAGATTAATTATGTTTTTTTTTGGGGGGGGGCGAAAATAGGATGGAAATTAATAAATATCGAACTATTTAATAATTTGATTTTAAGAAGAAGGTATAGAAATAGAAGACAAGAGTAGATTTTTAATTTTAGATGGTTTAATTATAGCTTAAAAATCGTAAAGAAATTTGGAAATCGAGTTTTTAGGCGTAGCTAAATAATATAAAATATACTAAATATGTACTAATAATATAGTATGTACTAAATTGGCTGTTACATTTTTAGGCACGTCGTCAAGGGGGGGCCTTATGGGGCCTGGCTCCTAAGAAAAATCAGTGGCCTCGAACTGGCCCCCTTAATTTTGATTTTTAGATATTAAGGTGTTTAGTTGTCCCAAACCGGCTAAATCCTGAATGTATATTCCATATGGGCGATTGTAAACTCCGCTA